TTACAGGTTACTTGATATATTTTGGCCCTAATTTACTCTCTTGGAGTACGGAGAAACAGAGTCGTGTCTCACGCTCATCCACTGAAGCCGAGTACAGAGCCCTCTCGGCCGCAGCAGCTGAGGTGATGTGGCTCACTTACTTGTTTGACATTTTGCAGATCAAGCTCCCTCCTCCGCATCTTTTATGCGACAATCAGTCCACCATCTGTCTGACCAAGAATCCGGTCTTCCATAGGCGCATGAAACATGTCGGAACTGATTGTCACTTTGTACGTGAACAAGTAATTGCAGAGAAAATGACGGTGTCATATGTTCCTTCCAATGAGCAGCTGGCAGACCTTCTCACAAAGCCCCTTGCCTCACCACGCTACACTGCATTGGCTTCCAAGCTTCCTTTTGTTTCACGGCGTTCAGCTTGAGGGGGGATGTTAGACATATATGGAAAGAAGTCTAGTTATAGTAGAATTGTTATTTATGTTAGTTTACATATTTAGTGAATCCTAGTTCATGTAGGGATCCTCACCTATATAAACATCCATGTACACAATTATTCATTAAAAGTGAATTCATAAATTAACACTACTCCCTCCGTCCACAAATAAACTTTACGTTCACTATTCACAGAGTCAAACTTTATTCACTTTGTTGGCCTATTTTCGTCACCCATTTGATAAAATAATATAGTCATGTCACCTCTAGTTTTGTAGATCTTTTGATATAGTTTTTTAATATGTAATTTTTATTTTTCAATTCTACACCATTTTTCATATAAAATGATTTAAAAATAACTTCAGTCAAACACTGTAACGCGTAATGTAAAGTTTATTTGTGGACGGAGGGAGTAGTAATTAAATATTCCCTCTATTTGAAAATGTGTTTCTCATTTGATTTTTCACGATCTTCAATGTTGTAGTTTCATCGCTAATATCTATATTTATATATAGATATATTTTATAAAAAAATTAATACTTAAAAACTACGTTTCAATAGGGAAATATATTGATAGGAGTATTAAATTTATATCATAAAAAAATGTAATTTTTTCACATATTTGGGTCATAATTTACAAATTTTGATTAAAAAACAACTCCAAAGAACATTTTTAAATGAAAAGAGTAATTAATTAATTAAAGAATACACAAAAACCAAACCCGTTGTTAGTGGCCCTGTCCCTGCTCCCAACATGTGTCATAATTGCGCACAAACTTAAGTGGGAAAGCTCAATGGCATATCTCATTGTCTGTCCCAAACAACCTAGGCGTGTTTGGAAAATCACATTCTTTTATTTGTTCAATTTTTATATATATACACTCACCCGTTTCATAAAATTTTCCTGCTCTAAAAAGAAAATTACTCTCTTCGTCCATCAAAAAAATTTTCATTGTGTGTTACGATGTTTGACTAAAGTTATTTTCAGATTATTTTATATGAAAATGGTGAGTAATTAAAAAATAAAATTAAATATTTAAAAACTAAATAAAAATATCTACAAAACTAGATGAGACATGATTATATAAATTACTTTATCAAATTAAGACAAAAATAGGCTAATAAAATGAATAAATTTGATCATGTGGATAGTGAACGAGAACTTTATTGTTGGACGAAGGGAATGATGAGCTAACATATTTCCATCACAAAAAAATTTTGAAATACCAAATTTAGTTTATTATTTTAAAAGAGTATTTAAACTAAATAATTTTAAACCATTAAAATATTTATAAATTTTTAATACATTATATTTACTACCACGTATATAAAAATAAAGAATTTTGTTACATGTTTTTTTAAAATACATATTTTATTTTAAAAAAATTATACATTTACATGTTTGGTAACACTTTAATTTAAATTTTTAATTTTAATACTCGCTCTGTCTCTGAACACATGGGAGATTTTGAATTTTAAAAGATATACTCCCTCCGTCCCAAAAAGAATGAGACGGTTTGACTTTTTGGTAAATTAAGGGAGGGATATTTTGGTATTAACTTTCCAAAAATACCCTTGATGTGATGGGTAAAAGTAGGATGTAATGAGTAGATTATTAGAAAAAAGGTATGATGTGATAGGTAGGGTATGAAAAAGTAAAGGGTAAAAGTGATTTTTTAATAGAAATGTAACGGACTTTACGGGACACAGTTTTTTCTAAACGTAACAAACTTTTTGGGACGGAGGGAGTAAAAGACTATTTTGATGTTAAATTTTTAAAAAAATATCATTAAATGTGATAGGAAAAAATATAATTTGATGGATAGATTAATAGTGAATAAATGTGATGTCATAGCCTTATAGGTATGTTAAGAATTACTCCCTCCGTCCCCAGTTTTTGTCCCTTTCATTTTTACACACCATCCAATGCACTTCTTTAATCCATTTTATCTTGTAATTTGTATATTAAAAAATTATAAAAATTATATATTAATAATCTACTCCCTCCGTTCTCAAAAACATTTCCTCTTTCATTTTTTTCACTTCCAACAAAACACTTCCTTTTTCTATTAAAAACCACTTTTACCCTTACTTTTTCATACCCTACCTATCACATCATACTTTTTCTCTAATAATAAATCAATCACATCTTACTTTTACCCATCACATCAGGGGCAAAATTGGAAGTCAACTATAATTTTACACTTCCTTATTTTGCCTTATAGTCAAAGTGGGAAGGCTTTTTCCAAACGGAGGGAGTATATGTTAAGACAAATCAAACAAGATCACACATGACTATATTTAGGGTTACACATTGAGAGAATTTGATGAGTCAAAGTGCTTAGATGGACAGTTCCAAAAGTCAAAAGTGGACAAAAACTGGGGGACGGAGGGAGTAGTAAAAATTGGGTAAAAGTAAATTTTTAATAGAAATGAAAAAAATTGGATTTGGACGGATGAAAAAAAGAGCAGAAAGTTTTCAAAGATGGAGGAAGTACGTAGTATACATATTTTTCAATTTTAAAATATTTGAAAGTTTATAAATACTTTAACTTATAAATATTTTGAATTTTTAAAAGTTTATAAATACTTTAAATTTAAACTATAAACGTTAAATTCATTTTTCTAATGATTTAAAATAAACTATTTTTGACAAAAAACATGTTGCGTTGATAATTATACAAAGTATAACTAACATCAGGATTTTTTTTAGAAAGTAAAAGATTTTAATAAAATATGATAATAATAACGATAATATTCAATGTAAAGTTTAGTATTTACATTAGCAAAAGAAAGCTTAGCAGTTAAGAGATTTATAAAAAAATTATTTTTCATGTAATAAATTTTAAAAATAATGTACTTGAGAGTTCTTTGCAGGAGACGTGAGATACAAAGATTAAGTTTTTTGGTGTTTGATTGATCAAAGTAACAAAATTTTCAATCCCAATAGTCAAATGGACGGAATGTACCTTCGGGGTACATTACAACAAAGGCACGATTTTTAAACACCTTTGAATTATATCCGAAATAATGTGAGATCTATGCGTTGTTTACGAGAAAGTCTGAAGGCTAAGATATTCGAGTGTCATTAATTAATTTTGTGCAAATACTAATTATCTCGGAGTACTCATACAAGAATATGACTAAATGAGTTGCATATATACTTTTCCCCTATGAATTGGTTTTGAATTAGAATGTCCCACTACTTCAACATGAGATATGGCCGGCATCAAAGTTAATCTCTAAGAACTCAAAACAAAAGTTGAGATCTATTTGACTCAAGTTGCACTTGGGGAGATGTTGATGTTTGATAATTAAAGTTCTCACATCCTATACACAAGCTAAAACAAATTAAACTCAGTCTCTGTTTGGTACATGGAATTCAAGCTGTGAAATTAGATTTGGAGACTTTAATTCCAGTTCTGATGTTTAGTAGCATAAAAATATGTGAATTTAGAATTGGTAATACAAAAAATGATTTGGAATAGGAGAACTCAATTCCATAGAATTTCTATTCCAAATCCATTCGAATTTCGTCAATTTCGTGTACCAAACAAACTCTCATTGTCAATTAACTTTGAATTGGAATCTTACTATTCTAGTATTCTACATAACGATAATTGGAACCTTACACACACAGAAATTTAATATCTTTGGACACATAGATATTAAATGTCTGTGTTTGCTTACTTGTGCGATGGTCATGTACAATTGGTGTACCCAAGTATTCCCCCCGTTTCTCAAAAGAGTTTCTCTTTTGACTTTGGGGGAAAATAAGGAAGTGTTAAATTGTAGTTGACTTTCCAATTTTGCCCTTGATGTGATGGGTAAAAGTAAGATGCGATAGTTTAGTTGTTAGTGAAAACTATGATGTGATAAGTAGGGTATGAAAAAATAGGGGTAAAAGTGGTTTTTTAATAGAAAAGGGAAGTGTTTTAAGAAAAACAAAAAAAATGAAAGAGGAAGTGTTTTAAGAAAAACAAAAAATGAAAGAGGAAGGATTTTAAGAAACGAGTGAGTACTACGTATTATTCTAACATACTCCCTCCGTCCCCCAGTTTTTGTCCACTTTTGACTTTTGGAACTGTTCATCTAAACACTTTGACGTATCAAATTCTCTCAATGTGTAAGCCTAAATATAGTCATGTCTGATCTTGTTTGATTTGTCTTAACATATAGATTATTAATATATAATTTCTATAATTTTTTAATATACAAATTACAAGATAAAATGAATTAAAGAAGTGCATTGGATGGTGTGTAAAAATGAAAGTTGACAAAAATTGGGGGAGGGAGGGAGTATATAATAGCCTTGCCAAACACGTCCTAGCGTCCTACGTCACCACACGTACCATATTCTCTTTAAATTCCACCCATCCATATCATAAAGAATGAAAGCTATTAATTCTACAAGAAATTAAATAAAGCTAACCCTTCAACCTTCACCATATAGCATCAATTTCCTCCATTTCAGAAAACCTAGAAATGGCAGCAGAGTGCACTGAAACCTCTCTTCTTAACCCTAACCCTAACCCTAATAACAATAATAATAATACACAAAGTTGGTGGCAAGAACTGATGCATGCAAACTCTTTGTCTTGTTCCAACTTCCCATGGCAACACCACTCTAGAAAAAACAATCTCTCCTCTGAGACGTCGGCCCGCGAGGACGACGTCTCCGTTTCGAACCGGACGGTGCTCGCAGCCATCGAGTCTTCCAGGCTGCAGCTGGGCGACGAGGCTGCGGGTGCCTTGCCTGGCGGCAAATTCATCGGCGAAAATTCGTCCGATCATCAAAGCCATCTATGGAGTCATCTTCTCTTGTAAGTCTTATACACCATATATTACAATTAACCTAAGCTATTAGCTCATTCTTGAAAAAAAAGAAAATTAAGGGATTTATTTTTAACAAATTAACTTAAAAAAATAACACTTGAGAATTGGGATATTACATGTTAAATACTTAAATCTAGACAGAGAAAAAGGAGAAACGAGGTAAGTCTAATATGAAGTATATTCTTGTATCAATATTGAATACGGAGTATAAATTTTATTTAACTAATGGTCAATATTTATTAACTCTGAGTGCAATTCAAAATTATTTGAATTAGTAAAATTTAATCAACTTTTCTTAATTGTTAAAAAAATTTAAGAGACACATTAAAATGTTCTTGTGTTTTAATTGTGAGCGTGTGTCTATATCTATTCAATTTTCAATATATTTGAAGTTCATATAATGAATAAGCATTTAAAAAGAGAGAAGAAAAGTAATTAAATTAAAATTTTATACACTTCTTATATGTATTTATCCCATGTATTTCTTCAATTTAATTTTCTAGAGTCAAACTAGACTAATTTTGATTATCAGTTAGGTAGTGTTTGACAACTAACATTTAATTTCAATTTATGTATTTCAATTCTAAAATTTGAAATCTTGAATTTCAAATGGCAATGAGAGGTGCATGAATTTCAAATTAAGCTTTGTAATAAATGAGAAGAATTTGACTCGAATCCAAATTCAAAATTTTTAAGTTTCCCAAACATGAAATTTGAGCGGATTTGAAATCCAAATCTATATTCCCAAACATACCATTAAAGAAATTGAATTCATATTAGTCCAAAAAAACATGTAATTATATTTATCTTATGCTCATTTGTAAAATAGTCAAAAAATTATTTTATTTTTATTAATACCCCATAATACGAATTTAATTGAGGACAAAATTTATCAAATTTAATCAAAAATAATTAAACTGAACAAACACAAGTAAACTGTGAAATGAAATAATGATAAAATAATAATAGAATAAAAATAAAATGAATGGCATGCAGAAGTGGAGGGAGCACTAGCGGAGGATTGGATTACAAAAGTCAACCACAAGAGATTGGGGAGAGCAGCATGCTCATCAACCTTTCATCATCACCATCATCAAACACCACCACCGCCGCCGCCGCCACCACAACCACCGCCGCCACCAACTTTATTTTTGACATTATGTCATCAAGTGACGACGACTACTTGAACAGAATGGGGACTACAACCACACTGGACCATCATCATCACCATCATCAAGACTACTACAACGCCTTCATCAACAATAATCCACACCAATATGGCGGCGGAGGCGGCGGTCAAACGGAGATGTTTGACCACCACCGCCTGCCGCCGCTGTCGTTCACCGACGAACACCTGCAGGGTGTTTCATACAACCATAATGGTATTATGGGAAGTGCGTGTTTTCTGGGGGGTAGCGGTTTGAATGAGTATAATTGCAGCGGCGCTACTGATCTGATCAAAGCCATGCCGCCGGATTTTCCGGCGGGGTGTTTTGGGAATGGTAATAATAAGAAGCGGGGAGCCGCCGCCGGTCTTCGTACTTCTCCGGTAAGCTCAGCTCCTCTAATTCACTTCCTCCATCCACTTTGTTTGGTTTGATTTAACTCAAACATTTTAGAATTTTGATTGGAATTACGGAAAGAATACAATGAATTGTGATGGAGGCGTATCAATAAATTGATTTTGAAACATCAAAATTTTTATACTATTTCTGTCTCGGAGTGTTTGTTCAATTTTAATTTTTTACATTCAAAATCAACAAACTTTAACTATTAAATAAATAATATCGATATTAGACATTAATACGAAAATAATTTTTTTAAATTTATCTTATAAAGTTTATTTAAAATATTATTTTACCTAATTAATATACCATATAATTTTTATTTAACTACGAGTCAAAAGTTGATGATGATGGAATGCAAAAAAATAAAAACACGAAAAACACTCTAGCCTAGGACGGAAGCAGTAATAATGTATTCCCACTCCGTTTCTTACTACTCCTACCGTTTCACAAATCGCTTCCAGCCTAATTTTTTGTGCATGCATTCTATAAAATATTTCTACTTCAACCACTGAAATACCCTCAAAATAATTTAATTTCTACCCGCAATTAAGTACTACCTCCGTTCCAAAGTATTTATCCACTTTCATTTTTACACACCATACAATACACTTCTTTAATCCATTTTATCTTGTAATTTGTATATTAAAAAATTATAGAAATTATATATCAATAATCTATATGTTAAGACAAATCAAACACGATCACACATGACTATATTTAGGCTTACACATTGAGATAATTTGATGAGTCAAAGTGCTTAGATGAACAGTTCCAAAAGTCAAAACTGGTCGAATACTCCGAAACGGAGGGAGTATTAACTATGAAATGAAGGTGTATTTTAGACATTTTAAGTAAGATGGAATTATTTTGAAGGAAGCACAAAAAAATTAGAGTAGAAGTATTTTGTGAAACGGTTGAATTGAAGTATAAAATAAAGGCAAAATTGGAAAGTAAAATTAAAATTTTAACATTTTTTAAGTACAATTTTTTTTTAAATGGAACTTTTATAGAACAAAGGTACTCTGTATGATAATGATTCTATAATTTCATCCGGATATCAAGAGCTTTTTTTCTCTTACTCTAACCTCAGCCTTCTCGTTACCGGTGTCATTGCTCCACCACTAAACCACCACCGTGGCCGGCGGGGACAACACCATTATTGGTACGGTGTTGATCCAAGTCCTGTATAGATTGGAGTATTGGACTGTATAAATTAAAATATTTTTTCAAACATTTCACCGAGGTTAATTAACCGTACCATTCCAGCCATGTAAATTACACTAGCTTCACGAGTAATTTGTCCAGTTTAAACTTTTTCGATCTATTGTTTTTAACCTATGACCTATAATTAAATAAAGTATATATTGTATATTAATTAGATAACATTAAATTTTGAAAATATTTGATATAATAAATCTAATAAAACTATTTTTGTATCAATATCTAATGAGTATCATTTTTATTAAATTTGATATCAAAGTTTTCGAATTTTGATCGGAAAAATAAAAAATGGACAAATACTCAGGTACAGAAGGCGTAATTAATTAAGTTAAGTCCATTGAGGCAAGTGAATAAAGAATTACCTAATTAAATATATGTATGTAACTAAATTACAGTCTAGGGCACCATCAACATGCAGCACCATATCAAGGAGCAATAGTGGGAGGTGCCAAGGAAGTCTTGCTACTACTAAGGATGCAAAGAAGAAGAAACTTGAAGAACATGTGGAAAAAATGATCTTAAAAAGACCCAAAGATGATACATCATCTTCCAAAGAGGAAAAAATGGTACACTTCTTCATTATAACTCCGTCCATTAATTTCTTTTTCATTTTTCTTTTTGGGTCATCCAAAAACTTATAATTCCGTCCATTAATTTAATTTCTTTTTCACTTCCAAAAACTTATTAAAATCTTGTTGTAGATGACACGAAAAGTTGTGATTATTTCGTGTGGAATTTGAATGATTTATATAATGTAGATACAACAAGTTCCAAAGGTTAAGCTTGCAGATAAAATCACAGCACTCCAACAGATTGTGTCTCCATTTGGAAAGGTGAGCACACACATTACATAGCCCTTAAATACATTTCATATGTATAGTGGGTGTTTTTTTTGTGTGCTCATGTTTAAGTTATATTCCGTAAGATGTTTATAAGTTAAAAATTCTTTCGTATAGATAAAATTACTTAAGTGATATATAAGTCATTTGGGGATATTCATAATAGATGATATATATAGTTTTGTAAGTAATCTACTCAAAACAGAAAAATAAAAAAAAATGGCTTAAAAGTAAGTAAAATCTACGTATTTTTACTAACTTATAATCAACTTATAAGTATAGAAAAATAGATCATTTACTGACCTATAAACTAAAAATAACTTATAAGACGTTTTGACCATTTCATAAATACAAAGAAACACATCATTTACTAAGGGGCTGTTTGGCAACTTCTGAATGGGTAAGTGCTGAACCAGTAAGAGGTCTGAATCATTAAGTGCTGAACCAGTAAGAGGTCTGAACCATTAAGAGCTAGTATATTGCTTAACTATTCAGAGGCAAATGTCTGATCAATTCCGATAAGAGGTCTTAACCATTCAGACTCTGTATAATACTTAATCATTCAGAGGCAAATCTCTTAACCATTCAGACATCTGAACCATTAAGAGGCTGAAACAAACAGTCTGAACCATTAAGTGCTGAACCATTCAGACATCTGAACCATTAAGAGGCTGAAACAAACAGCCCCTAACTTGTATAAACTAGAAATAGCTTATAAGCCATTTTGACCGGCTCTTAGTATAGAGAAATATCCACATAGTCTTTCCTCTCGAATTAGTTGACATAGTTTGATTTAGGAAAACTTAGAATGATTAAGAACTACTATCAATTTACAGAAAAAATACTTTGGGTCTGTTTGGTACACGAAATTGATGGAATCGAAATTAAATTAAAATTAAAATTCTATAGAATTAATTTGGAGGAAATTGAATTCTCCAAATCTAATTTATTCTTTGCACTACTAATTCCAAATTCACAGTAGAACTGGCCGGAATTGCAATTCTCGATTCTAATCTATAATTTGAATTCCATGTACCAATTCCCAATCGAAGAGCTTTTATGAATTCCAATTTGACCAATGTGAGAATATCACACCAAGATTAGATGTCATTACACCCACTTTGTTGTACTCAGTAATTAACAATAATATGATGTTTGCATGGACTTAATGGGTGAATATAATGCATGTTTGCATGTAGACTGATACAGCATCTGTGTTGTGGGAAGCATTAGGCCATATCAGATTCTTGCAAGAGCAAATCCAGGTGAGCAGCTCATTATATATATATACTAACAGTGACAAAAATAATAATCAACTAAAGTTAATCAAAGGTCAAACTTTGATTAAAACTCTAAAAATATTTGGACCTTTTAATTAGCAAATTAATCAAAATATTGTTAACTCTCTCTTCAATAGAACAACTACTATATATACACTCTCCGTTCTTGAAAACCTTTAATTTCTTCTTTCTTTTTGCATTCGTCTCAAAAAATTTTTTTCATTTCTATCAAAAAAGTCACTTTTACTCTTACTAGTTTTTAACATACATATCACATCACCTCTATTTTTTGTTAATATAGTTTTTTAAAAATCAAAATCTCTCATGTTCTTAAACACGGAGAGAGTGTGAATTATTGGTAATGCAATTTTCTGTTAGTGTGTTAATTTTAACATTATTATTGCAGCTTCTAACCAACGCCCACGCTAAGAGCAATGCAATAAGAAAGGTCAGTCATATATATTTCTTGTATCAATTTCACTTTCACTCGGCGGCTTGGTATATCCCAAGTTGCGCCGGAAAGAAAAAGCACAACACAAACATCATTGTTTGTATTTACATTTGGTGTGCAAAGTAACAAAATGAAACATGCAAGGGCTAGTAATTTACCACATCTGTTATTGAGTTTTCATCCAGTTTGATCACCAGTCAAATTACATAAATAAAAATAAAATGTGAAAAAAACCAAAAGATGAGTAAAATATGGAGAAAGTACTAAAACACGAGTTTCATGCTTTTTATATCTAATTTGATTCGGAACGAATAGTATTTTTGTGCAGTATTTCAAAAGAAAATAAAGTAGCTAGCAGGGAGTAAATCCTTATTGATCACGATTCATGGATGCGTATGTGCCGCTGCAGGATGTTCCATGGGGAGGGTTTATAGTGGGCGGCGGCAGAAAAGACGCCGGCGGCGGCGGCGGAGAAGATGACGATGTTGATTTAAGGAGCAGAGGGCTTTGCTTGGTTCCGACGTCGTTTACCCCTCTCATTATTCGAGAGAAAAATAGTAACGCTTCGGATTACTTGATTCCAACGTACAGAGGATGCTTGTATGGTTAATGATTTAATTATTGGTCGGATCCATTGTTGACCATTACTAATACACTAATTATTAAGTAATTATGCCGCCATTGCGTTATTTTATTCTATGTATTTCATCCAAACAATTCAATTTTATGTAGCTATATATATGGATTCAATTTTATGTACATTTATCTCAAACTACATGTAAATGAGTTGTAATTTAAAAGTAGCTATGAATGTAGGTTGCCACCACGCAACGATGCCACTATATACGATGTTACTAAACACTCGAGTGCTCTATTCACAAAATTGATAATTTTTATTTTCAAACATATATTTACAATCCCCTACCCCAACCCGACCCAAACTCACTCCCTATCACTATCAATTGGACATCACGTCCCACCCTGGGGGTGTTCGGGTTGGGACGAGGTAGAGAGATTTACCTGGGAGTTAGGGATTGGAGAGAAAGAATCATCAATTTTTCGAAAAGAGAACGAGAAGTGCTTGAAAAAGCAGTGAAAACAAAGAGGCACTCTCACCCACTAACAACAAAACCAATCTGATGTATGTAACATGTAATTTTAGGTATGTTACTAGCGAACCACAAGATCTATTAGAGAGGTTCAGTGAGGACTCGCCACGAGTGTCATTTGATGACACTAGTCCAATTACAACGCCTGCAATACTTTGATAATGAAAATTGATGGTTCATATCCTCCCTCTCCCCCAAAATGTAAATCACTGGCCCCCATTCTAGCTAGACCCAACCCCCACCCATATCTCCAACCCCTTCAATTCCATCTTCCAAATTTTGATGACTTTGGAGTCAAATATTTTGAATCCAAAGTTAACTAATTTTGGGGTGTGGATTCTTGTCGGGCTAGGGTGGGGTTATTAGAGAGGGGTTGGGAGTGGAAACTATTAGTTTTGTGAATGGAGTTTCATATGTGCTTTAAAACTCAAGTGGCATTGTAGTTTCATCCGGAGTTATTGTCAACAGAATCGTTCTCTCGTTATACTTATTTGTTTTTGGTTTTTCGATCAGTAAGGGAGGGTAATCATGACCTCGAGGGAGATAAACACAAAACTAGCCTTGTCTCTCACTTTTTGGCAATTGCTACCCGCGTCATATCATTCAGATATTCTGCTTCACTAGCTTTCGAGGGAGGGGGGAGTGTCACGGATCTTCCACTCATTATTTTGTAGTGCTCCCATATATATATATATATATATATATATATATATATATATAGATTTTGGTTCTGGTGAGAATGCAATCTTAGGAGAGAAATGAGAATGAATCTGGTGCTTTAGATTATGAGATCTAAGGGTCAGGATTGCATCAAAACCAGATGCACCAAAATGGTTTAAAAATGCATCACGTCAAAATGCACCAAAATCCTTTGAAAATGCACCATCTCAAAATCTGACCGCAGGATGCAATCTGAGCCGCACGATGCATCAGATCCAACGGCTAGATTTTATTCTCATTTCTCTCCACAAGGTGCATTCTCACAAGAACCTACCCATATATATATATATATATATATATATATATATATAGAGAGAGAGAGAGAGAGAGAGAGAGAGAGGCGTGCAACTAGTCGATCGATGATCAACCTGGCCTGGTTCGCGGCATATATCACTCTAATGGTAAGTCACCATTCCTTGTCAAGCCACCTTCTCGCTTCTTCAAGTCAATCCAATGTCGGATATGCTCTGTGCCATTTCTTCCCTCCTTGCTAGATCCCGTCCACTGCATTTTTGGTGTTTGACTAAATTTCGGTCAACATCTTGTAAATTCAATTTCCATGCCCATTGCATACACCTTGATGATGACAAAAGCTTCAATAAGCAATGAGTCTCTATAGCAAGTTGTGATACAATTGAATAATAATAATTTATCTTATGTGATAGTACTCTTGTTTATTTACTACGGAGTACAATATTTTGAATAATCTAGTTTTATCCTAATCGGTATGTTACTGATATTTACGTTTTGATAACCAACAGTGTCGTCTAGGCCTATTAGCTCAGTTGGTTAGAGCGTCGTGCTAATAACGCGAAGGTCGCAGGTTCGAAACCTGCATGGGCCATTTTTAATTTTTTCTTAAATTTTTAATTTTTTTTAACTTTCATCCTCCCACTGTAAATTGGCTTTTCCGCCCTGCAGACCAAAATCGCATTCCTCGCCATTTCAATTCATTTCCAAACTCCCCTACTCAAGTCATGGCGGAAGCGGAGCTTCATCTCCACGCGCCACCGCCGCCAAACCCTACCTCCGCCTCTCTCGCTCTCAATCCACCGCCGCCGCCGGTACAGGTCAAATCTGAGTCTCTTCCTCATCCTCCTCCCAGCAGCGGAGGATTCGGTCCGCTTCTCTGGCTACAGAACCGCCGGCCGAGGGTTAGGGTGACGTCGGAATACGACAGCGACAGCTCCGTTTTCCTGCACAAAATCTCCTGCAAGCTGCTCGACAGCTTAGCCAAGGTGAAGCTGTCGTTTCAGAACGACGGGAAAGGAGAGATTTCGGAGCCCCAATTGGACTTGACTTCCAAGTACTTGTCCTTGCACTACGACATTGAAGACCAAAACGCCATTGTCAAGGCAAATTTCGACCTCACTCCCTCCCTGCAGTTGAAGGCCATTCACGATGTCAAGGTCTGTCTCTCCGCTCTATTTATCAATGCATTCTTCTTCATCCTTGAGCAATTTTCCCCCGAGTATTATTACAATTTTCACCAGTATGTCTGGTTATAATTAGTGGTTGTATTGTAGCCTATGATGATTTCTTCAATTCTTCATGTTAACATGCCCATTTGCTTACCCCCTTTTGTATGATTTCAGTCGAAACAAGGAGAAGTTGCTATGGTTGCAGATCTTTCCGGTCCTGCCTATAAGTTAGAATTGTCCTCTAGTGTTCCGGCTCTTGGCACCGCGGTACTGATTTTCATTTGAAGTTTTTTTTATATGGTTATGGAATGATGAATAATGGTATTTGTGAAAATTATTGGTGCTAGTCTGCTTGTGTAAAGTGTCTAGAACTTCAGATTCATGTATTTGCATAATTCACAGACCTTATTTCACTTTAGACTCCTGATTTTATCGTATATCTCTAATTCCCTATCGCATTTTGTGAAAGAGCTTGACATGAACATTCTCTGCTCAAGGAAGATATTCTCCTTGATTTTATCATGCATGGATCAATGTCATTTAACCATTTCTTCCATCACAAAAAAATTCCAACATGTCACTTCCATGAAACTGACCTTTAATCAAAATTAGTTTATTGAAGGGTAAATGCGGTCATGCTTGTATGATGGATTCATCACTATTAAAGTATTTTCTAAAATTCTAGGACTAATTTGTTCTCATTACATATCTCCACTTTAATTCTACAGCCAAAAGTCACCTTTAAGTTCCCCCATGGTGAAGTTTCACTACAGGATAAAGAGGTGGAGGAAGAGGAAGCAAAGAAAGCGTTCTCCATAAATGGAATCCTCAAGGGCCATATTTTAAATGGAGTTTGCACTGCACAATACAAGGATGAATCGTTAGATTTAGGATACTTATATAAGGTAATTTCTTCATGGTATTTTACTTCATTATGCCTTTGCACTATTAGTTTCAGACTTTCAGGTCAAATGCTGGCATTGATGGAATATCATAATTTTCATTAAGCCTCTCATTTCTCTTTTTTCCTTGAGTAGTACCGTTGTACTTATTATTGTATATTCGTATTGACTGTTGAGAATGCTAAATTAGAGGATAAATGTGTCTCCTAGCTCCTAAGTCCCAACAGTTTAAGCATGTAAGGAAATTGGTCCATTTAATTCTAATTGTTCATTTTTCTTGTAACTCCTAAGTCCCAACAGTTTAATTCATTTTTCTTGTACAAACAAGCTCATCTTAATTTCTTTTTAAGTTTAATTTAAATCACGTTTTCAATCCCCATAGATGCTATTTTCTCCTTTACGTGTTAATGTCTAAGATAATTGTGTGCACCTAGGAGTTAAAATGTCAAAGAATGCTAATAATTTCAATTTGTTGCAGGATGAGCAAATGACTTTAAATCCTCAAATTAGCTTGCCTTCAAATGCAGTGTCATTTGCATTCAAGCGTCGATTTGGTCCTTCAGACAAGTTGAGGTGAACACCTTTCTACATTTTCTTAAAATTTCAGCATATATTTAATTTATTCTTCCTCGTCATTGAAGTACATAGCGATTCACACCAATGACACATTGAGAGTTTAAAACTAGTTCTGGTTTTGATCTCTAGACTATCAGTGTTCTACTTTTACAGCTTATCAATTTGGATAAGAGTGTTGTCCTAACCATTCTAATTTGAAAAATGAAAAAAGATACTTTTATGTTAGGGGTCTATTGGTAAAAGGACTATGTTTGTTCTTTTCTCATTACTTTGGAATTATTAGTGTCTAACTTTCAATTGTTCAAGCTTGTTGATATTTATACTTCCTATTTTTAAATGCACTATTTGAAATTGGACCAAAATAGTCAATGTTCATACTAGGCTCAATAATGGAACTCTACAACAACAACAAAAACCATTTTGAATCCCACAAGGTTAGGGTCTGGGGTAATAATGGAACCCTAAAGAATCCTAATTAGGAGCCACTTCATTTGTGTGGTGGCGTTCCCTGGTTCCTACATCCCGAACATGCATCGTGTTTGTGATATCTGTCTTGAATTTGTTTGATTTTTTTATTAAGATGTCACATACATGTAAATTTTTTAACTTTTTTTATGAAGTATATATGAACTGCCCTTAGCACCATTGTTCATTCATGTCAAGGATTGAGATGTAAAATTTTAATATTCTTAGTTGACTTCTATTTGAAATTCAAACTGATGGGTTAATAGTTCTGTCCACCCTTTTAATAAAATACTTCCTCCTCCCATCATAAAGTTCTTAGTTGAGTGACATGCTTAATAAGAAGGTGAAATTGTGGTCTAGATTTATGTTTAAATGATTGTAAACTATGCCAATCACACAAATAGTTCCTTAAAAGAAAGAGAAGTTTATATTGGGAGATTGCCTAAAAGAAAAAATTAACTTTATACTGCAAAATAGGTAGTGCCAAATAAAAGCAACTACCAATTAGGAAATGTCTATCACAATCAAATACCAATCTTATAGGAATCACTTTTTTCATATTCAAGATTCAAGACTGTCTGCTGCAGCCCGGCAGAGTGTAGTATTGGCTGTCAATTTCCCACCACTAGACTTAGTTAGGAGTTCAAATGATGTTCTTTTGAATATATGATAGATGCAGTCAGGGTTACAGGATTCGTTTGGTAATGTTTCGGGTTTTGTGCTTTAATTTTCACAATTTTTAATGTTATGTGTTGTTTTCACATTTCAAAACAAACAACAACAACAACCCAATTGAATCCCACTACAGTAGGGTCCGGGGAGGGTGTGTGTACGCAGACCTTGCCCCTACTCGGAAGTAAGGAGGCTGTTTCCGAGAGACCCCGGGCTGTTTTCACGTATCAAAAAATAAACAAAAATGTTTGATTGTTCTGCTACAGATATATAATATGAGGAAATCTATCTGTTTGTGGTGTGTTTCACTTAATATGGAAACATACAACTTTTTAACAAGAAATCTAAATGTTACAATGTAAAAAAAGTAGAAACAAATTCTTGAAAACAATAATTAAAAAAATTATTTTCAATATTTTTTAAAATATGTTTTTGTTTTCATAAAAGTGATTGTGAATTGTTATGAAAGACATCTTAGCTTTACAAGGTCTAACATAATTTTGTGCTATTTTACTCAGCTACTGGTATAATTTTGATACAAACTACTGGAGCACTGTGTACAAACACACAGTCAGCAAAGACTACAAACTTAAAGCAGGTTATGATTCAGAGGTGCGACTTGGATGGGCATCTTTATGGGTATGTATTCCAACTCTAACTCGTTTTCCACAACAATCTTTTCCCTTTCCCTGCCATTTTCAAAGTTCCAAACATACATATGGGTGTATGGGGACCGGCTCAATTGTGTATAGTGAATTAGGCTCAATATTCCCAGTCTATTCTATAATTAATATTGTATTCAGGCACATGCCACTGAATCCCACACACTTGGTAAGTGGATGAAGCCCACATGAAACGGGCCGGGCTAACATGACCCGGTTGTAAGGCTGGGGATGGTGGCGGGTCGAGGTAGGCACTAGGGGTAGGATCACACTTCTGAGATACAAAGAGAGTTTTATTGAGCTTCATCTCCCTCGTGGTATATTGCTTTCAATCTGATTATTACATCACAAATTTAATATTCCGGTAAATATATATTCATCACATACCCTATCAAAGGTACAATAAAACCAGCCCTAATTTTCATCAAGTGTATCGAGTAATAAATCACCCTAAATAGGAGTATAACATAGAGAAAGTACCAAAATAGAAGTTCCATGTTTTTATCTCCAAAAATAAGAGTTTGCACTGTGATATGCATTTTAACTCCTAGTTTGGGAACAAAAGCATATAACTATTTTGGTATATTTTCTATGTTTTACTCCTACTTATGTCTTTTTCCAAAAAAATATGTGGTCTTGCAATTTCATTTCATCAACATGAATTCCAATCTACAGCAGCATTTTTCAATAGTACACTCACCTTTGGCTTGTGACATTTCTTGGTCTAACAATGGCATATAGGTGGGAGATGAAAGTGGGAAAGCAAAGTCGGCGCCGATGAAGATGAAAGTCCAATTCATGCTTCAAGTGCCACAAGACGACATTAAAGCATCGGCTCTGATGTTCCGCTTGAAGAAGAGATGGGACATATGAACATTGTTTGGATTATATGTAGACCAGATGTTCCAATGGCACAATGTAATGTGTTTCTTATTTTTACATGATTACATAGTATATTGCTTTGGATGTTTTAGTGTAAGATGAGATGGTTCTTTATAATCCCATTAATGAATGGCTTGTGTTCTGCACAGAGGTTTAGACATTGTTTCTCTCCCTTTTTCCATTCTGCTACTCTTTTTAATGTCTGCATGTTTTTGCACTAAAGGCAAACAGTGAACATTATATTGGCATGTTAAAAAAGTGGTCAACTGTCAAACAACCTCCAAATGTGTACCTCCAAATGTGTAGCTAATGCGCTATTGTTTCAAAGAATGTCCAATTTGACTCATTTTGTAGTCAAACAGGATGAACTTTAATCATTAGTTACATTAAATTTGCAATGCATATTAATACAATAAAAATTGTGATATTTTTTAGTACTATATCATTATACGAATAAAAAATAGATATATATTTTGAAATACATGTGAAGTGTTTATATAGCCAAAAGTAAAAAAAGAAAGGTTAAACATGTTTTTGATTTCTGCAAAATTATTTATTTTTCTTTTGGTTTCCTTTGCTTTTCTATTAAGACCCTGATCATTTCGTTTGAAATTTCAAAGTTGGATATTAGAAAAAACTAGACATTGGAAGAGACTTGAAAGAGTTAAAAAAAACTAGAAATAATTAGAAAATATTAGAAGAACTAAGGTGTTAAAAAGTCACTTAATTAAAGGATCACCACAATAAATATGTAAGGACACATGAATTTTGGATAAAAATAGAATTCACCATTCTCCGTGTTTGATGTTGTATGTTATAAGTAATATTTTTGAAATTAGTCCTTACTAAGTAAAAATTAACTATGTGTTGAGATTTATTTCTTTGGTAATTTTTTGTCAATAACTCTATTCTTTGAATGTTAAATGGAGATATTTTAGTAATTTTCATCATCTCATCTTAGTGTAAGTTTCTAAAAGAAATCTATCTAATTAAATTTTTTCTTGAAATTTAAACATTTTCGTTAAAACTCTATTATATGTACTCTGTAGGTGTAAATTAAGGTGTACTTTGTATTTTCTATTATTTAAATCCAGACTAAATTTTTAAATAGTCTTTTCTAAAATTGCATTTATAATTTAGATAATAACAAATATCAATATATTCTTAACTTAGCAATTATATAACATTATTTTTGATCAAGGATTACAGAAGAAAAAACTTAATTATTATAGTGTAGACCTTGTTTGGCATTAACATTAGTAGTTAGCGTAGCGCTTGGAAATGTTATCAGCTGATAACCTTTAATATTTTTTTAAATTAATCTATACTGTTAATTTTTTATTTAAAACGCTTTTTTCATAATTATTAAATATTGAGAATTAAGTACTACTCCGTATTATGTAAGCAGTACAAGCCTACAAGGCATGGCATATGGACGGTTGCGTAGAAGAAGAAGGCTGTTAGGCGTGCGAGCAAAGACGTAGCAGAATCTGATCTGAGTCAGGAAGACGACAGTGATAACTGTACTCTACAAGCTTCTAACCTCTGCCACAAGGTTTCCTCCATTCATCTGCTTCGCAATCATTCTTCGTTCGATCTAGGGTTTCTGCAACTCTAAATCCTCAAAAAATCACTGAAGCAGAGCCAATGGACGGCGTGTTGTCGGCGTCGGACCAGCAGATCTTAGTCACCTCTTTCCTTGAGATCGCAGCCGGCCAGTCTGCTGACACAGCGCGCCAGTTCCTTCAGGTTTGAATTTCAATCAGTGATGGTATTTATTACAGTCTGTAAGGGATGATTGTTCTGGAAAGTCGACAAGTGTGCATGAAGATGAGATTATTTGGATTTATAGGTGGTTATGTTGAACTTCCAATACGAAGCTTACACCTTTAATTTGGTTTGCATTCTAAAATAATAGAATTAGCGTTTATGAGAACCTATGTTATGTTGGAAGTTGGATTTACCATCATACTCTCTCAGATTTTGAGCTTGCCCAATGAATGTACTTATGTACTGGTAGTAGGTGATGTCTCTGGGAATTTTCCTAAAGCTTGATTATATTTTACTAACCACCGTATATTACAAAAAAATATGCATTTCCAGGATTACTTATCAGCTTTGTATAAGCTAGAAATATGTTTTCCTTCATTATAGGAGATTCTAGGTTGCTCACCTCTGCATTGGTCATGTGCATAAAATTATACATGGTGACATATTAATTGTAGGCAACAAGTTGGAAGCTTGACGAAGCAATTCAGCTTTTCTATATCGGCAATGATGGAGATGCAACTGCATCATCATTGAATTCCCCATTGGCAAACAATGCATCTCTTCCTGATCCTAACTTGAGGTATCTGGTGTGTATCTTTGGGGGGGGGGGCAGGGGTATTTGCCAAGTTTGGATTTATAAATAATGCTTTTGATAATTATTCTATTTCATTTGTTCATAGTTCTCTTTTAAAATTTTATTAGTGGATCTAGAAAAGACTCCAGGGACGAAAGCAGAAGGCAAACTGATGGTGATGATGTACGACCACCTTTGCCTGTAATAAAGGATGTTCTTTATGACAATGCCGTGCTGCATGGGTATGGCTTTGCATTGATCGTGTATTACTCTGTAGTTTTTTATTATAAATATTTGTGATGTTATTGCCTGGGGGTAGGTTTGAGCTTTTTTTATGATGCGAGTCAATAATAAGAAGTTCTAAGGGTCTTCTATCTTTTATCTGTCCCATCATTCCCATTACAAGAATTTTCAAGTATGCGTGAAAGAGATTACATTTACATATAGTTCCTCCTGAATATTAACCTTAACGATAGTTTAGTTAGTTTCTTAAACTATTGTACTTAGGCACATTCAACATTTAATTATTTTATTATACATAGGAAATCCGGACCACTACAGAGTATATTTGAATTATTAAGCAACACTATTTTCAGTGAAATTTATTGAATAGTACCTCCTAATTATAACTACAAGTAATTTTTGACATTTGTTAAGATATGGGTTAAAAAAAGGAATTTTTATGTTTGCCTGCACTTCACATTCTGCATATATTCACCTTACATTCTAATCCATTGTGAAGATATGTGTGCATCATCTCATGGTTTCTAGATGCACCCATCTTGTCAACCAAATCAAGAATGGTTCAAATTTCATAAAAAAGAATGGCTCAAATATGTAAAAAAAAATTTTCTTCATTCACAATGTACTTCTAGTTTTGCTTCATTTAAAAAAGCTAACCATCTGAAGTCTAAAGTTCTGAACATTAATTTGTGGAAAATCCTCAGATTTAAGGAGCATAGGTGACTACCTTTATAAACTTGGTCTGGTTTCACATTCTCTAATGAGTTTTTGCATTCTTGCTGTTGATCAAGCCCATGGGAGGAGAATATCATACTTGATAGATAACCAGAAATCATTTGATTGAAGTTACTTGCATATATTCATTGCAAATGAAATCCTATTATATAGTGACATTAAGATTAATAGATTATGCATTATAAACAAGAATTTCTAATACTCTCTAATTTAAATGTTAAAAATACCATTTCAACTATAAACAGCCAAGAATCCTAATTGGTCTCAATTCTCAAACTCTGCAGAATCATAATGATTTTAACCTTGTATACCTTGATTTCTCATAATGAGATGCATTTTCACTCCTAGTCATTATAAGTATATAACTCAAGAAGTTATTCTTTCTTTTTTTTAAAATTAGTGGATAATGTATTCAAGTTTTGGGTTTGGCAGTGGTTATTTGTTTAACTCAAGGAGGGTTATATTTTTGAACTTTTGCACTTCTTTGCAAGTACTCTGTAGCCCATCTATACCTTTTCAGAATCTGATCTAATTTCTTACTTCCTCCGTCCCAAAAAGATGTTTCTGTTTCATTTTTAACGCATCCTATAAAACTCTTCTACCCAGTACCCACATCTTAAATGTCTAATGTTTATCGCATTTCTCCTTTAATACGAGTTGTTGTTTTGGGGGTATTTTAGACATTTGATGTGAGGTACAAATGTTTTATGGGATGCGCAAAAATTAAAACAAGAACATTTTTTAAGGACAGAGGGGGTATTACTTGCCAAAAGATTGTTAATGAGAGTCATAAATTATTCAATATTACTATTATTTCAATTTTGAACCCTTTTATCATTATCATTAGACAATCAATGATGGGTGTTTCTGCACGCGAAGCACGTCATGTAGTTCCCTTCCGCAATTTTGAGGAGGAAATGAAACACCCAGGAGTATGGGAAGCAGACAAAGGATCTTCTTCTGCAGCGAAGAACACTAAAGCAGACAATCTTGCTTCTTTATATCGTCCACCTTTTGCATTGATGTACCATGGATCTTTTGAAAAGGTAAATCTGGCTGTTATGTCCTCTAAGAGGGTATTTCAATTTTCTCTTGAGCAAATAATCAAATACCCTGCACAATGTCTTTGATGTACCGCTTGCACACATATTATAACATGTACCTGAACACAAACAAACACATCGGGGGAGAGATTTATTTTATATCTTTATATTTATAGCTTCAGAAATCAGGCTCTTATTTTTTCTTAAGTTCAGTTAACTTTTAAGAAACATTGCCGTAGGTGAATAAAAGTTGAGTGTCCTTTGTAATCTGTCTATGTACCTACATGATGATTAGTTCATTGCTGTACACAAAATAACTATAATTGCCTTGCAGGCAAAAGATGCTGCTAGACTTCAGAATAAATGGCTTCTCGTGAACCTTCAGTCTACCACAGAGTTCAGCTCACATATGGTAGTGTTTATTCTGACAAAATGCCCATTCATATTCTTAGGTGCCTAATGGATATAAAAGGGAACCTGATGCATCAAGTATTGCATCCGTTTGAGTTTTTTAGTTAACATTTGGACAATTGTTGGTTATTTACCCCAAAGCAGTGGACAATTATGGGCTAGAATTTATCCCAAAATCATTAAATGTTGTAGTTCTGAATATTTCCCTGAACCATGTTGATGGGCTGTTCTGTGCAAGTGTGCATAACTGCATATGTGCATGAGATAATGTGAATGGTGGTCCTGTATTTTTTATTAGATTTCTTGGTCATTAGTTTCCAGCTTTCTGAAGTGCATTGTGTATTGTGCATGCACAAATGCGTGTTTTG